ATCATTAGTCATCTCCAGAGTCCTGGAGTATCATGACACACAAAGAGAAATGATGATCTCAAACGCCTTTTCGAGATTCTTATCAAGAGGAAAAGAGTCAGAGGCACAGTTGTGAGGAATAGAAAATCATACCATTCTCTCTCTTCTATAACTTCACTGGCCATTTCTTTAAAAACATGTTTCATTTTTCTTTTAACCAAAGAAATTTATTGAGTTTTTTCCCCTCAAATTACTGAAGTAACACACATTCAGTTAATAAGGCAAAGAATTCCAAACCAAAACCAAACCAACTGCCATGGAGTTGATTCCAACTCATAGCGACCCTACAGGATAGAGGAGAACCGCCCCACAGGGTTACAAGGCTATACATCTTTAGGAATGCAGACTGCTTCATCTTTCTCCTGCGGAGGGGCTAGTGGGTTTGAACTGCCAGCCTTTTGGTTAACAACCGAATGCCTTAACCACTGTACCGTAAGAGTTCCTTGCAAATAAGTCAAATTGTGTAAAGTTCCATCTTCTTCCTTTCCTTCTCCCAACCCCATGTCTCATGATAAGAGCCAAGTACGTATCACTCCATGTTTTATTAATATGCTTATCCAGTCTTATACAAACATATGTACAAATAATAGCATCCCAGTTTTGTAATACAGCCTATTATAAAACTGGGATAATTATATATATTTTTTCATTTGCTTTTTTTGCTTTGAATTTCTCCAAATGGCTGATACTATACCCTTTCTTTTATAATTATTCTTATTTGGTAAAAATATATACAGCAAAAGGTATACCATTTCAATAATTTCTACATGTAAAATTCAGTGATATTGATTAAATTCTTCAAGATGTCCACCAATTCTCAATCCTTTTCCAACTCAATTTGCTTTTAATTTAATAATATTATCATGATCATCCTTCCAAGTAAATATATACATTTTGACCACATTGGTTTGAATGGCAGAACAGTATTTTATGGTGTGATTGCAGAATAACTTATATAACTATTTTCTTGTTGATGAACAAGTAGATTCTTTTCCAATTATTTGCTATTACAATGCTACATTACATATTGGCAGCCATATCACCCTATATATTTATTATGTTTTTATTTCTATAAGAGAGACATCTATGTGTGGGAGTGGTATGTCAAGCAATATGTTGTTGTTATGTGCCGTCAAGTCGGACCCGATTCATAGAAACCCCTCCTTGGGTTTCCGAGGTGGTATCATTACAGAAGTAGATTGCCCAACCTTCCTTCCAAGGAGTGGCTGGTGGGTTTGAACTGCCAGCCTTCTGGTTAGCAATCAAGTGCCTTAGGCACTACACTACCAGAGCTCCTGTCAAGCAATATACTTATTCTTAATTTTCAAAAAACTGTTGTCCAATTTCTTGCCCAAAAGATTAATCAAAGTGACTCTTTTCCCAACCACTTTGATAAAACTTGATGTTATAAACAGCACTGTGTTGTTTTAATTTTCACTTCTGTGGGATCAGTTTAAGTAATCCACTGTTTTATTAATAGTACTATTAAAAGTTATGTTCCTTACTTATGAAGAGACAGTGTATTCTACATTAGTTTTCAAAATCCTGAAGAAGAGCAACCCAGTATATTATTTGCTTTTTTAGTGTCCTATGAAACTACAAATGTTAACTTACCTATTAAGAGGCTTAACACTGCAGTTCTATTATATGAATTAAACTACAGATGTTATCTGAATCAAACTATAGAAGCTATCCATAGGATTCTAATTCTAATTTATAATCATTTGAACTAAGTGTCAATTGTTACAATCAAAAGACGTTTGCCCACCCTCCAACCTAGCATCCCAGTCCACTGAACAAAGCAATGACAATCAAGAAAGTAACCAAAACTTGCACAGATTATTATTACTAAAGGACAAAGTGATAGAGGGGATGAATTGGAGCACACCTGCCGCCATACTGTCAAGTCAATTCTGACTCATGGCAACCCCATGTGTATCAGAGTGGAACTGGATTCCATATGGTTTTCACTGGCTGACTTTTCAGAAGTAGACTGCCAGACCTATCTTCCATGATTTAGGGAGACAGGAAGGCTTATTTTATAGGATAAAAATGGTCATATTTACATTGATGTCTGAATGTCAAAAAAGATCCAGGTGTATGAGGGTTAGGGAGAAGAAACTACTGGGAAGGCCCAATGAAGGAACAGAAAGGCCGATGCCTCTAGAAAATAGTGCAATGAACACAGAGCAGGAGAGCGGATGGATTATAAAAACTGAGGGAGATACAGGGGTAGGGATCAAGTGTCCTGTGTCCGTGTGTGAAGTCTGCGATGTCTATTACAATTATCTCTGAGCTGTGGGGCACTACAGTTAAAGTGCTCAGCTGCCATTCAAAAGGTCAGAGGTTCTAATCCACCAGCTGCTCTGTGGGAGGCAGATATAGCAGTCTCGGAAACCCTATGGGGTAAAGCAGTTCTACTCTGTCCTAGAGGGAGTCTGTGAGTCAGAATTGAATCAGCAGCAGTGAGTTTGTTGTCTTTTTATTGGTTATACATCTAAGGACAAGCTACCAAAGAGGGGATTTTAGAGAACAGACACGTCCAGCACTAGAGACACAGACAGGAGATAGTGATATCAAGATGCCATTTAAAGCCACTGGGCTTGATGAGATCACCTAGGAGTCATCTGGAGAAGTGAAAGTCAAAGAATATGTATACAGAGCTACAACATCACAGTTACACACTAAATGTTCTTCAAAAATACAGTGGTACTATACTCTCATTTATGCAAGACATAAGACTTTGAAAATTAGGTATCTCTGAAGTTGCAATGTGCATTATTTTAACCAGGTTGGGAGTTCACTGTAAGGAATCTAGTGCTGAGTTCTTATGAGGAAAAAAATGTATATTAAAATGCTAACAATAACCCCTAAGGTATTTTTGTGAGTTCAGATCATTTATGTGTCAGGTGGTGGCACTTTAAGTGACCTATGGCTAAAAGTTCCGGCTTCATGAATGAACACAGAAAACTGTCACCAAACTTTCTGGCAGGCACACAAAGAGCTGGGTAATGAGAGAAGTCAAGTAAAACAAATTATCTTATGAGATAGTAACTTGCCAACAGATTTAAGTACTTTGAGAATGTGAGCCTCCTTAAATTGTGGACCCTAAGTGCTCCTCTTACCTCACCCTAGTGATGTAGGATTGATGACAGATATCATAGTGATTTGTGATAGATCCTGAAAAAAACAGAGCAAGGGCTATCTCTTTAGCAGGATGGAATAATTAGCAAATTCCTTTGTTAGAGCAGGAAGTAGTCCGCAATCCCTAGGTGGTGGTGGTTGTTGGCTGCAATTCTGACTCACAGTGATATACCATATGACAGAGTAGAACTGCCCCATAGGATTTTCTTGGCTGCAACCTTTACGAAAGCAGATCACCAAGTCTTTCTCCCAAAAATCCACTGGGTGGGCTCAGAAGAACCCTAATCTTTCTGTTAACAGCTGAGCACTTAACTTTTGCACCACCCGGGCTTCTTCCAATCCCTTGTAGATGAATACAGGGTAGAATACTCAGTAAGCAAAGTAAGGTGGTGAAATCCATGTGAAATTGTTCACTATAAATTAGTAAGTAAGCACACGTAAGCCTGTGCTTACCTTGCTTACTGGGTACTCTGTCCCCTTCAGGGATTGTAAATTTGAAAAGAGGATTTGATTCTGTAGAAAGGTGCTGTGGGGTTGGCAGAGAGAAAGGCGCCAGCCATAACCAGAAGCAGAATCTCTGATGTGGAGACAAAAAGTAAAATTGTTCACTATGGATTATAAGGTAAGCACATGCTTACCTTATTTATTGGGTAATTCAACACTGCATACAGATCCCACATTTCTTTCTTTTCAGGTCTCTTTACAAGTTTATTTTCACTTTCAAGCAGTGACTCAGTATCAAAAAGAGTGACTTTCTAAGGAAATTGAAACAAAGACCAAAATTTCCCTCAAAGATCCCTTCCCTAGGGATTTTCCTTGGTGGCTTGGGAAAAAAAAAAAGTATTAATGTATTAAATACAAGTTGAACGTCTTGACCCAAGAAAAAGCAATTTTAGCAGAGACTCTATCTACATGAATATGTAAAAGCGTAATTTATAAGAACACACAGATATTATAAATATGGAATATAAAAAACCTTGATTAAATCCCAAGTGAAAAATACATATGACATGGTAAGTAATTATTTTCTTACTTGACATTTTACTTTTATTCTAAAAAATAAAGATAATACACTGAATCAATTCAACAGGAAAAGAAAATAGAATTTTGGGCAATGGTCATCTGCGTGGTGACAAAATCAAGTAATGAAGAAAAAGTTTACTTTTAAACACGATGCACATTTCTCAGACTCTGGCTTATTCATATAGTTAGCTGTTTGTAGAAAATTTCATTTCAACAACAGCTAAAAGGACTTTGTTTCAAAACTCAGGGAAAAAATGTAATCACAAAAATTAGGTATTTTAATTCCACAAAAATACTGTATTTTAAAATTAACTTCATACCATTTTAAATAAACTAAATTGCACAATCTAAACAATTTCAAATTCCAATTTCATACTGTAATATGCTAATAATATCAAGATGAACTTAAATGTCAAGTCTATACATAAATAACTTGAAAAAAAAGAGAAGTTAGTGTTGTGTTTGTTCAATAGAAGAAACAGCTAGCATTTATTCCATACCAGATACGTACCTATTTCATCACTCAGTATGGGCTAAATAAGTAATATTAAAAGAAGCACAGCAGAGTTTAAAGAAATACATTCATTCCAAAGTAAACCAATGGTCGAAATAATAGTATTGACATAGAACCCAGAGAACAGAGAAGAGCAATGGACAGAAAAAACCTGTAAGGATAGAAACAGAATGAGAGCATAATAAATAAAGTGAAGATGTCTTAAATAAGCAGCACACTTCCAGTGAAGGCAATGGAATCATGATCAAATTCAGGGTGTGAATGGGAGAGTCAATCTTACCTGAGTGAGGAACACATATGATACACACAGCAAATAAGAACAGAAGAGGACCTGGCTTCCATTTCCAATGATAGCTCCACATTCGACCTGCATGCAACATCCTGCAATGGAGCAAAGTCACACTCAGGGCACAGTAGTCAGTAAATCCCTATAACATTAAGAGAAAAAGTGTAGCTTTCCAAGAGGTACCAGAAAATAGAAACCTTTTTCAGTCTTGCTTCCAAATAAGAAGGGACTTAAAAGATGATGATGAACTAATTACTTCCATTAAGTTAATTCAGCCGTTGTCATAGAGTACATCCCAGCTCATGGAAAACCCATGTGCTGCAGAGCAGGACTAAGTCCACAGGGTCCTCTTGGCTATAATCTTTACAGACGCAGATCACCAGGCCTTTCATGTGAGGCACCACGAGGTGGGTGGAACCACAAACCTTTAGGTTACTTCTTTATTGTTAGCTGCCATCAAGTCAATTCCAACTCATGACCCCATGTGGTCAAGTGCAAACCACTGTGTGCCCCCTAAAGACCTGGAGGCATAATGCCTAAGGCATTTGACTGCTAACCAGAAGGCTGGCAGTTCAAACCCACCAGCCACTCCTTGGAAGGAAGGGTAGGCAATCTACTTCGGTAGAGACACCACCTCGGAAACCCAAGGAGGGGTCTCTATGAGTCAGATCGACTCAACTGCAATGAATTTGGTTTAAAGACCTTTACAGGAGCTCTGGTGGAGTAGTGTTTAAAACATTTAGCTGCTAACCAAAATGTCAGTGGTTAGAATCCAACCACAGGAGAAAGTTGAGGCAGTCTGCTTTTGTAAAGATATATAGCTTTGAAAACTCTAAGGGGCAGATCTGCTCTGTCCTATAGGGTCGCTGTGTGTTGAAACTGACTCTATGACAGTGGGTTTAGTTTTGGTTTCGAGGGACCTTAAAGGTAAGTAAGCAAAAGGTAAAAACAAAACCATGTACAGCAAAACCTGTGGAAGACGGAACCTGTGGAAGTTTCCTGGCACAGAAGGACAACACAAAACGGAAACAAAGTAGGATTCTTAGCAGAGAGGGGTAATAAGAACCCTGACAGAGGCTGAAAACATGTAAGACCCACAAAAACATGGCAGTCCCATCAAGTCTTGGCTGTCACAGATTTTATTGTATTTTATTTACTAAGTCTTCCCACCTTCCTTTTCAGAGTATATATAATAGAGGATTTCTGCATGAACGAGGGAAACACCCAGACAAGGAAAGAAATGATTTATTAAAAAAAAGAATAGAAAAATTTCAGCTTCAGCATCAACAGAAGCCCATCTGGATAGCAAGGAGATATTTATATCAATCTCCCCTATACGCTTCAGAAATTTTGACTTTAAGAAAATGTTTTCATTTTATAATATCTGCAACTTTACAAATGGAAAAATTAAAAATAAAATTATATTGCCCAAGCCCTTTTCTTTCCCCTAAAATGAAACATGGGAACATTCATTTAAAAAAAAAAAAAAAAAAAAAAAGATTAATTTCTTTATAAAACAATAGCCATCAATGTTTTTAAATGGCTAGTAGATCACAAGTATGTGTCAGACCCGACTCATAGCAACCCCTCCTTGGGTTTCCGAGGCAGTATCACTACAGAAGTAGATTGCCCAGTCTTCCTTCTGAGGAGTGGAAGTTCAAACCCACCAGCCTTCTGGTTAGCAGTCAAATGCCTTAGGCACTACACCACCAGAGCTCCCACTATAGAAACTAGTAAATGACATTAGATGGAGCCACAGTGTTTTGAAAAGTCTCATAATCCTTCTGTACAATGATTTCATGTTTAAAGTGAAAATTATATTTCACATTGATTTAGATAGGAACATCCATACTATCTTGGCTCAAAATGATGGTATGCTAATTTTCATTAACTCAAATCATCAAAGGAGACAAGTCAGTGAAAGGGGCATCAAGAATAAAAGTCAGTCACTAAAAGGGACCACAGGTGTATTAGTTAGCCAGAGAGTCATGAAGCAGGCAGGCAATTAAGGAACAGTAAGGAATCTCCAGAAAAATCTTAAGATCCCCAATAAACGAGTGTTAGCTTTATAATCAAGGATAACTGAGAGTCATGTGATTTCTGTGAAGAAAGGCAACTAACAAGACACTTTAAGGTCACAGTCATATCTTCCTTACCTGATGGGTACTTATCTGGAGAAAAAGGTGTAAAGAGAAAAAAGTAGAAAGAAAAGACTCGATTAAGCTAAAACAAGCATCAAATAATTCTTGAACTTGACTCAAGCTTACATTTCCTAATAGTCTCTTATTGTGAGAAACCACACAGTAGAAAAGAGGGTAAGCTTGATAATCAGGCAGACCTGAGTTTGCTATTTGCAAACTGTGCAACCCTTGGAAAATTTTACTTGACCACCTTGTGCTTCTTACTCCACTGGCACCTACTCCAAAGAGTTGGTGAGATGATTAAATAAGGTAATCTTTTAAGAATAGTGCACAACACTCAGAAAGTATTCCATTTACTCACCACTGTCCAGTCCATTCTGGCTCACAGCAATCTTATAGGACAGAGTAGAACTTCCCCATAGAGTTTCCAAGGCTATAATCTTTATGGAAGCAGACTGCCACATCTTTCTCCCATGGAGCAGCTGGTGGATTCAAACTTCCAACTTTTTGGTTCACAGCAGAGCAGTTAACCACTGCACCACCAAGGCTCCAAATAAATACTAGCTATTACCAGAAGGTTGGCGGTTCAAACCCACCAGCCTCTCCTTGGAAGGAAGATGGGGCAATCTACTTCCGTAGTGATACTACCTTGGAAACCCAAGGAGGGGTCACTATGAGTCAGGTCCGACTCAACGGCACATAACAACAACAACATTATTATTGTTACCACCATCCCAGATGTTCTAATATAAGCTTGGTTATCTTGTCCACAGTGAAATCAACAGAAAAGACATAAACAAGAATGGACATAGATATGCCAACACCAAAAACTGACTTTGTGGCCACTTTCGGGTTCACATGTGAACAAAAATGAAATTGATCATTCACATCTGCCATAAATACAGAAATTTTGAGTAGTGTCTGAAACTCAAAGCAGGCTTTCATACTCACCAAACTCTAAGTTCCAGAAGAAAGCATCCCTAATGGAAATATTAAACTTAGAAAAGGCTAAGCTCTGAATAGTATTTTTTGTGTTGGAAGGTAAATAATAATAATGATGGATATGAACTCTGGAATGTCACATACTTATATTCTGGTTTCTCAACTAACTGTGTGGTTTAGGGGACAAGTAGCCATTTCTTCTTCTGTAAATAGAATGCTATTCATCACAAAGAAACAGAAGTAATAGTATAAAGTAGCTCTGGTGACATGAAGGGTGAGGCATTTGACTGCTAACCAGAAGGTTCGTGGTTCAAACCCACCTGCTGCTCCATGGGAGGAAGATAAGACAATCTACTTCCGTCAAGATTTACAGCCTTTGAAACTCAATGGGAGTCACTATGAGTTGAAATCGACTTGATACCAATGAGTTTGGTTTGGTTTTTGGTAAAGGGCTTTAAAAAGTGTTGTTGTATGCCACGGAGTAGATGCCAACTCATAGCAATCCTATAGGACAGAGAAGAACGGACCCAAAGTGTTTCTAGGCTGTAATCTTTACAAAAGCAGACTACTTGGTCTTTTCTCTAGAAGAGCAAGCAGTTGGTAGGTTCAAATTGCCAACACAGAAGCAGAGAGGTTAACCATGGTGCCACCAAAAAAAAAAAAAAAACCAAACTCACTGCCATTGAGCCAATTTTGCATAGTGACCCCTTCTCGGGTTTCCAAGGTGGTATCACTACGGAAGTAGATTGCCCAATCTTCCTTCCGAGGAGTGGCTAGTGGGTTTGAACTGCCAGCCTTCCGGTTAGCAGTCAAATGCTGTATGTACTATGCCACCAGAGCTCCCATGGTGTCACCAAGGCTCCTTTAAAAAAAAAAAAAAAAAAAAGAGTAGCTACCATTAAGGCAATAAACTGTCAAACAAAGTTCACCCCTTTGGAAGGATGGGCTCATTCCCACTGATGCCAGAGGAAAAGAGGTATTTTCCATTCACACAGTAATGAGTATGCTTTGAAAACAAAAGCACAATTACATATTCAAAGCAGTTTAAAGCTGGAAGAGGCAATGATGAAGTCCAGCCTCATTTCACAGAAGAGAAAACTAAGGCTCAGAGACATGAAAGGACAAATCAATCAAAGCTGGCTGTCAGCCTTACAGGTACTAACAGAAATATCAGTCCAAGAGAACTCCCAGCTTTACCCTCCAAACCAAACCACTCACTGCCTTTGAGTCGATCCCAACTCATAGCGACCCCTCCTTGGGTTTCTGAGGTGGTGTATCTACAGAAGTAGATTGCCCAATCTTCATTCTGAATGGATGGTGGGTTTGAACTGCCAGCCTTCTGGTTAGCAGTCAAATGCCTTAGGCACTAGACCATGACAATTCTTTACCATCAGTAAACGAAAAATGGTCCTCTCCTAGTTCATGTGCTCTCTAAACAATACTCATGGATTCATGCTCATTAGCTTGGCTACACTCCACACTTTCCAGTTTATTTGCCATGCAACTTCTCATTGCTACTCAAGGTTCTGACGGTTACAGATTCCATATTCAATCTTGAAGTTTTTCTATAAACGCTGCCTGCAATTCTATCAGGCAATAGCTGCAGATGATGACAAAGGGCTTGATGTACTCCAGTCCTCAAGACTCCATTACTTTGCACAGGAAAGGAACCCAGGACAGGGCAAGCATTTGTAACTCAACATAAACCATATGACATGCCAACTTTCATCCACTTTATGGTTTACTAAAGAACAGAAACAAATAAATTAAGAAGAGACCGGAGGAAGGACAGCACTATGTGTTTCCTCAGGGGATCACTTAGCAAAGACATATCCCTGAGATTAAAGCTGTCTTCTCACAAGAATGGAAAATCCTGAGTAGGGTTACTAAGGTTCTAAATAGGAACTATGGAAAACAGTACAACCTTGAGTCCAAGTTGGATTGTGGCCTCAAAGTTCTATTGAAGAAAGCAGGACTATTTTTACATAAAAGA